TTTTTTTTAAAAAAAAAAAAAAAAAAAAAAAAAAAAAGTTTTTGTCAAGGTTAATAATAATAAATAGGTTTATATCTAAAAGCATGTTTTAAATTAGCCCTTTCATTTTGTTTTCTCCTTTCCTTAAAATCTTCGGCTCATAACAAATATTTTTATCTTTTGAAATTGTTTAAAAACCTTATGAAGTTATAATACATGTTAATTGTAGAGAATTTAGAAAATACAGGTAGGCAAAAAAGAAGAAACATCACCTATAATCCCACTCTTTTTTTTCTTAGTCTTTATGCATGTATGGGCAATCTATTTAATATAAAGAAAAAAGAATTTTTAAAAAAGTTTTGGAGTATTGGTAGAGTCATTTCTGTGGAAATTATTGATTTTTTTGATGTTTTCCCTCCTCTTGGGTAGTTTCATTTGCCTTCTACATAAAATAATACAAACCATATAGAGAGATTTTCCCCCCAGTTGATCAGTAAGGTTGCTGCATATTGTCTTCTTGCCCTCAGGGTGCTATGTATTAATATTTTTAATAGAAAAAAAATTTTAAAAACTATATGGTGTAAGTTAGTAAGTAAAAAATGTCAGGTAAGATAGTTTATTTGGGAATTAAAAATAAGAAGAGAATCTTTTGAGGTAGAGAAGGTATGTGTAGTAGATTGTATTATGTCCCCCCAAACTCCCTGAAACTTGTAGTGTGTCCCCCAAGTTTTATGTATTAGAAACTTAGCCCCCACTGTGACTTTTAGGAGGGTGGGAAATTCTATTATGGTAATTGAAAGTTGGAGGCTTGAAGAGGTGATTGGATTGTAGTACCATGCAATAGTGAATGGATTAAAAATGGTGCTCAGGGGGATAGTTCTGAGGGCTTTAAAGGAAGAGGAGAGTCTGTCTTTCTCTCTCTGTGCTCTGTCTGCTTCCATCATCTTGCAATGGGAGACCCCTGGGTCACTGTCACCACCACCAGATGGACTTTGGACTTCCCAGCCTCAGAAACTGTAAGCAATAAGTTTCATTTTCTTTATAAATCACCCAGTTTCAGGTATTTTGTTACAAGCAACAAAAATAGACTAATACAGTATGATTGTGAGAAATTAAGAATTATAGATATAAGGACCTAAAAGGATACTGTAAAGATTTCTAGTCCAAGTCAAGTAAGAAAAATTACACATATATACCTGTAATTGTATAAATACGTACACTTATTTGTTAACCAGCTTGTCAATTGGTTTCAGGACTTCCCATGGATACCAAAACCCATGGATGCTCAAGTCCCTGATATAAAATGGTGTAGTATTTGCACGCATATCCTCCTGTATACTTTAAGTAATCTATAGATTGCTTATAATACCTAATGCAATGTAAGTGCAATGTAGACAGTTATACTGTGCCGTTTAGAGAATAATGGTGAGAAAATGTCTGTACATGCTCAGTACAGATGCAATTTTTCCCCCCAAATATTTTTGATCTGCGCTTGATTGAATAAGGATATGGAAGCAATAGATATGAGGTGTTGACTGCATGTATGTATATGCATATTTATGTATAAGTCTAATTGCTTCAGTCATATGTGAAACAATGAACACCAAAGTTAGGTATGTGAAATCTAAGTTGCAGGAAAAATTTGTATCTTTGGCAGACTGATTAGTATGCAGAGGCTTAAATACAGGATTTCCATTAAAATGGTTTAAAACATCAGTTTATGCATCTTTCTCCCTGTATCCTGCTGTCCTTTCCCCACCTCTGCCTTCTGTCCGTCTGTGGACAGAGTTCATTCTGGTTTGACCAGTTCTTTATTGTTCCTGTTTCTGGAAATAAGTAGGCCATGTTTACAGTGTAAAGGTGAAATCCTGGAAGTACCTCACCCTGACATATCAACAAGGATGATATGAGAATTCTTTGTTGACTGGTAAGGTGTGAGTATGGGCCAGTCAAGACTCATGTCGATTGGAACGCTGGAGCAGAGTCCAAGCGTGCCAGGAGTCGCTCTTCAGTTTTTGCATGGTGGAGAGGTCCACGGTGCTGGGGTTGGGAGTGGATTGAGGCTGGAAGGATTAGGGGTATCAGCCGATGATCAACCTTGCCTCAACTGATATGTACATTTCTTCCAATATAGCAAAGGTCTTTTGGTTCATTCTTTCATCAGACATGTTTGAAATGTCTGTCATGTGCCAGATACTGTTCCAGGTGTTAGGGAATCAAAATGAGTCAGTGTGCTTCTTGCCATTGAGAGGCTTTTAGACAGATATGCTTGGAATGACGTGGCAGGAGGTGGGAGGATCTATACAGGACAAGGGAGGAAGGTTCTGGGCTAAGAAAGAAGTGAACATCTCTTAGGGTTTCAGGTATTTTAGGTTAAAAAAACCCAAACCTTTTGACATCTTGCACTAAACCTGTGCTCTATACATATTTCTTGTTATTTTTGCTAATGAGAAAAATTTCAATTTTTTATAGCAGTTATTTCCTTTTTAAGATGTTATTATATTTGTTTATTTTAGGTTGCCTGCCTGATTCGAGTTCCTTCTGAAGTGGTTAAGCAGAGGGCACAAGTATCTGCTTCTTCAAGAACATTTCATATTTTCTCTAACATCTTACGTGAAGAGGTGAGATGCATTTTAAAGCTTGCTCTCTCTTTTTCTTTACTGGAAAGATTTTATAGTAGATAATATGAACACTGTGGGTCTCATCCCAGGATCCTTAGAGCTAAATTTCATGTACAAATTATAGTAACTTTTTTGGCTAAGGTTGTTGTTGCCTTTTCTTTCTTTCTTTTTTTTGTTTTTGAATTTTTGTTTTCATTTTTTCCCTCAGATTTCTAAATAAACACATACTGAGTGCCACTATTGAGTATGTGTCCTGAATTGTAATCTTTCTACTGTTCTTTTGGAATTAGAAATGGAGCAAATTGTAAATATGTAAAGTGAATGAAGATATTATATTAAAACATTGCTACAGAATTCGAAGACCCATGGAAGAGAAATATAGTAATGGACTAACAATAGTGACCAATGTCAATGTTAATATCAAAATGCAGTTCCTCTTTAACTGGTTAGTGTTAAGCTGTGGATCAGAAATTATTCTTCCTGGCCATGTAACTAGTGAGCATTTAGCTGTTTTCCTTTATAGTTTTTACAGAAGCCTTTTTTAAAAAAATGGGAATCAATCACATGGAAATTTCAATGAGTCTAGATTTTAGAAAAGTTATTCCTGATGGTCTGTGACTTATATGAGGAGACATTGCATATCTAATTATATAAATCATATCAATCCAGTACAGGGTACCTGTTGAACCATAGGGATGGTTAAACAGATAAATCAAGGTTTTTCTGGAAATATTTACCATTACTTTAATGAATTTCTGATGTTTGATGCTATGAAATAAAATTTTGTTTTTATATGAAAGGATAATTGGCATTTCTGTGCATTTGCTTTGGGAGATATATTTATTTAAAGAATCTAAAATGTTCTTTTCAACAGAAGAAATGTTGAATAATAGCAACTAAAATTAATATATAGTAATTTTTATCATTAGAGATGTCCCCATTTTAAAGAGAGTTAACCTGAGCTTTATATACTTTAGGCCAGTTTAGAACCTTCTTAATCTCTTACAGGACTATGGTAATTGTGAACATTTTACAACTCAAACTTTAGAGCAGGTAAATCTGCTTTATTTAGAATGTCATTCAGAAATCCCTGCTATTCTAACTTTCTGACCTCTTGGCTTTGTGTTTGTTTCAGGGCATCCGAGGATTATATCGAGGCTATAAAAGCACAGTTTTAAGAGAGGTAACTCACTTAATTTCCTACATTGAAGTACAAAAGAACGATGTACTTTGTTCAGTAAATTTATACTTCTTAACGAGCAGACATATATTTGGGGAAATTGGCTTGAAGTTAAAAAGCGAAATTATGATCACTCTTTTAAACACTTTAGTTGTATACTTGGTTCTTACATCCAAAAGAATGGGTAGAATGGGTTTGCTGGAAGAGCAGTCCCAGTCATCATACTGGCCCATCATATAGCTTCATGGTTATTCTAGGGTGGCTAAATGTCTCTTATAGCTGAAATATTAAGAAATAACTACTAAGGGTAAGACATCACGTTAATTACCGTGATATGGAGAACTAATGAAAAACTGGTAATTAAGGAAACATGCTAAGAAACAAGTGTCTCAAAAGTCTGTATCAGGCAGTTAGCTCTTGGCTTCCTGATAACAAGATATGGTAAACGGGGAGGTCACTCTGGACTTGATTCCTGGCACTGCAGGTGGCTTGCAATGCAGCGTGCCCCATGGCAAGCCACTACACCTCTGTGCCTTCCAACTCTAAAATTTTGTGTTTCAATATGTGGGTCATTTTCTATCATATTTTTGGTTGAAAAAGCAAAAACTTTATTGTCAGTAAGTGATTTCAGTATATTATTGCAGGAAGCATCTTTTAATCTTTGCCTCCCATAAGAGGGACTATATTGAAGTTCAAAGTTGGTTTTTAGGTAGGTGAGATATAAGGGAAGTATTTGGTTTGGGACTTACTGTTCTATTAAAGAAAACACAAGTGAGAACCTGCTTATGTCTTCTCTGCATCTGTGTTTTCTGCTTGAAGTTTCCTGGACACTAAAACATTTTCACTTATAAAAATGTTTTTAATTTAAATAAATATTGATATAATTGGCAGAATATTGAAATTCATTTAAATCCCTCATTTTATTCCCAGGTAGTTTTTTTTGTTCTGTTTTTAACTATAGATTATAATCTTCTTTATAACACAACAACACTGTTACATGTGTTTTAAAGCTTGAGTCTCACAGGATAGCAATCTGTAGTGTAGCTTAGTTGGTGTAGATCTTGGAAGAACTACTTTTGTTGGCATACTGAATGTTTCAAAATTAGTTATTTGTGTGAGATGACTTCTGCCTTTCAGAAATATCACCTGTACTATATCTTCATTCTGTACTTCGTTTCTGACTCACTAAACGTGTTATTTAT